GTCATTCGCTCGCAATTTTCTGAAATATTGGAAGAAGGTAAGAGCGAATTCCGGGGACGGAATTCCTTTTGTTAGGGGGGAAGAATGTAATACCCCTAATTTTAAAAGGATAGTCCTGATATATTAATTAATTGTTTTGTTTGCATTTTTAAGTATTCAATTGTTTTGTTGCTGGGTTAAATAACTTGTTTGGATTATTTGATTTAATATTTGATTTAATTGCATTATTTGTTTTACTTGATTGCATTATTTGTTTTATTTGTATTACTTAGTTTAATTGAATTATCTGAATTGTTTTATTAGTTATGTGTCCTTAATTAATTAGTATAAAGGTTTAATTACGAAATTAGGTTAAATGAGTATTTTTATTACGCTAGTAAATTCTTTAGGGTTTCTGTTAGAAGTCCCGTAGGTGGAAACCGACAAAGTTTATAACGAGGATTGTTTATGGGCTGAGTTGGGCTCTGTCTCTAATCTTACAAGGATTAGGATTTTAGAGATGAAAGCTTATAAATACACCATAGCAATAAGTCTAGGGTTTACGATCATAACACTTAGCCTATAGACGTAAACTGAGTTTTGTAAAGACAGAGAGATATACAGTGAGGTTTTGAGAGAACAGAGCACGTTTGGTGTGGGATTCAACTGAGGTTTCAAGGTCGGACCTAGGAGAAGGGAATAGCAGAAGTAAGAGAAGGCTAGACAGTCGTTCAGTGTTGCCGGAACAGTGGACACGACGCCGAGATTTCATAACAGAAATCACAGGCAAGTTCTTTTCTTCCTCCTTCCCTGTGGCTTGTGTTCTGTGCACCTAGATAGTCTCTAGGATTTAATTAATGAATAACTGAGTTTTACATGTATATTATATGCCATATTGATGATATATATGTGTTGTAATCTATTAAAATACAATCCGTGCATGTCTATTTTTAGTGGTATTCTTAAAGCATGCTTAGTCTGTATAACTGGTAGTTTTTGTATTTAATTTCAACTACTGTAAACACATCATGGGGATTATATTGAACACAGTTAGGACCCTTAGGAACTGTTTAAAACCAAATAGACAGCTTGGGGGCGACCGGAGATGATGCAGAAGGTCGCAAAAGTTGCAGCGGTTGAAAACGGCTCTCAAGGAGGTGAGAGCCTGCTCCATAGAAGTGGGAGCCGGCTCCCACACATGTAAAGCCGGCTCTAAGGTTAGTGGAGCCGGCTCCAGGCTGATTGGAGCCTGCTCCCAAAGTTTTGGAGTAGGCTCCACCCTAAAGTTGCTTCCTGATATGGTTTTTGACGCACTTTTTGAAGCTGTTGAGTGTCTGAACTGTTTTGGAAAATTATGGAACTCTCCAGAATGATTACGAAGTTAATTTTAGGTGTTAATAAGACTTTTAATTGGTTAAAGATTACCTCTAAATCAATAGAATAAACCGTATAAAATTTATGCACATTGTATACGGTTAATGGATGGATGAAGACTTAATTGCTTAAGCTTATTTTTGGGCATTCCAGTGGGATCTAATATGTTTATAAAATGGTTTTAAATACATGATAGGGTCAGGTATTGATTAGTTTTGACTTATGCATGTTTTGGACTTTGGTTGCTAAGCTACTGTTCGTAAATCTGTAGTTTACTTGGTTTCCTTTAAACTGGATTTTTATTTAATTGCTGTAATGTCACACATTACTTTGCAATTAATGGGACTTCGGATTTGGACTGGATAATGGTTGTGAAATTTAATTGTTGAATTATTAAATCTTATTTTGCAATTAATTGGAGTATGTTTTTAATTGAACTTGCTGAAATGTTATATCATATTCTGCAATTATTTGAGTTATAGTTGGTAACTGGATTATGAATTTGGATTTAAGGTGCTGAACTGTTATCTTGGTTTTGTAACTTATATGGATATGGAGGATTGTATGCACCGGTATGGGACGGTGACATACTAGGGATGGTGAATCTCAAAACGTTAAGACCTACCCTATCGGAGTAAAGGAATGGATTGTAAAATATTGAATCCTAAATTGTGTTAAGTCATATCAGCTGAAAAAGTTAAATGAGTATCTGGACTATGTTTCGTATGTCACCTCACTGAACAATTGAATGACATACTCTGGATTTGGACGGACTTTAGATATATGATTATGGTACCACAAGATGAGCTTGAGTCTCAGGCTCATTGGTTAGGGTGCGTATTTTACAACGTTCTGTTTCTTTTGTGCAGATTTTGAACTTAAATCCTGGACTGAATACCAGCGATATGGAGGAGAGGAACAGAGAAAAGTTTTTTTTTTACTACTGCAGTTTCTGCATTTGATTATGTAGATGGCAGAAATGTGATTCCTCATTTGAGCATTACTTAACTGTGGGGTTAGCTATAAATTGCCAACAGCCAAAGTTTGATCCAAGCTGAGTTCTCCATTCTTTATTCTCTTTTCCTTCCATTGGTCTATTGTCATAATATTTAAAGAATTAAAATATCAAATGATAGGAAAAATGTTTTATTAGATTTTCTCTCTTTTTTTTTTTCTTTTTTTTTTTTCGGCTGTACTTAATTTTCTTTGAACCAATGTGGACAGTTGCAGCATTCTTGAAAAGAGTTGGGTTGATTTTTTTTTTTTTCCAATTGATTTCATTGCCCTGAGAGTGCCACTTGTCAAGCTTTGAGTGAAACTACTTTTAGTCAATTTACCACTTTGTCCCTCATTTACACAATTCCTTCCATTTCAATCCCATAAAATATCTCAATGTATGCTTACATCTATATGTATATATGTGTGTGAAATTCCCATAATGCCCTTCACTTATACGAGAAAATGAAAAAAAGTTCCCAAGTCCGAAAGCCATCCCAACTTCGAAAAAAAATTTCATCATTTCTAATCTGCTCAAAACAATAAAAGATACGTTTATAAAACTCCCGGTCAAGAAAATGACCAAAACGGGCCTTGGGGCCCTCATGGCACGCAAAACGATCCATGAAAAACAAATTAAAAAATGAAAAAAAAATCCAGAAAAATCTTGGACATTACAGATATAAACTCGTTTCTTCGATTGTTCAATCGAGAATTAAATATGCAAATTCATTGTGAGATATCTTGATGACTATTTTAGATATTTTTAGGCACATTCATATAAGAATGGATATACTTAGTACGATATTAGCTGGAGTAAATTGTTACTTGATTAGCATCACGAGAACCCGATGATGGAAGTTTCTCCAAGTTTGGCGAAAGGAAATAAATACTTAAGTATGTGCCTCAATTTATAGCAGTGTCATGGTAGAAGCCTCTTCAAGTTTTAAATTTAAATTACTTAATTAATTTACGATATAAACTCCGTAGTTGAAGGTGTCATCTATGTGCCTAAAAAAAACATTAGATTGATAATAAAGTTGTCTCCATAATTCTGTTGGAGTTTTATAATTGGATCTTTCTTCGATCCCAAATTTGTCGGAATTTAATCCACCCAAACGAAGAAAAAAAATAATAGTAATTAACTTTTAATTTGAATGAGTAAAGGTGAAATTTTGGGTCAGTTTGTAACTTTGAAAATAGTTTTAAGAAGCACATAAAATATAAAGAGTAATTTACACAAACCTCCCATATGATTTTCAATAGTTACACAAACTTCCTCTGTGATTTGGGAATTTACTTGGACCTCTCTTATGTGTGACGGACCGTTAAATACACCAACGGACCTGTCAAAATTACTGAAATACTCTCACATTGTTATCTTAAATTACTAAAATACCCATAAACTTTTTATAAGAGTGACGTCATATATATACCCTCACGTTGTTCAAACCTTGCTGGCGGTTCTTTTGATTCACCAGTGAATTTGCGATCGCTGGAAGCGGAGACAACAAAGTAAAGTAACAAGAGTCTTAAAAATATAAAATATATATTTTATATATAAAAACAATTTTAAAAGATACATATATAATCGGGGCGGGGTAATCACTAAATCCGCCCTCGCTTTAAACTCACTTCAAATTTTTAATTATTTTATCATACCTATCCCAAATCGGGCCACTAAATCTACCCCTATTAGGGGCGAGGTGGGCGAAAACCTACCGAATTAGAGGAAATTGCCGTCCATAATTATGTTTGGGAACATGGATGAGTACGTGGACTATACCAACTCTTACCCAACTAAAAAATATTTTACACATACTCCAAACAACTTTTTACACATTGTTTGGTTCACAACTCCAAACAACTTGTTCAACCCTTTGTATATGGAAAAGTTAGTTGTATGAAAGGAAACGAAATAAAAATTATAAACTTACCATACATTTGAAAGTCGATGTGTCACGTAGGTTCCACATCTCTAGTGAAACACATCTATGGGAAGTGATGGAAAAATAAAATAAATAAATAAATATTATTTTTGAAATGGGTAGAAATGTCAAAAAGAGAAAAACAGAATAAAAATTAGTCTCACTCATCCTTTTAATTAATTTTTGGGTGGAAGGAATATGGTGGATCGGGTAAAAAGGGCTTTACAAATACAGGAACAAAATTTCTTTGATTTTTCCTTCTCAATATACAGGCTATAATAGTACATGCCAAAGTAACTAGGGAATTTAAAGTTTTAAAATTATTTATTGAAAATGCTAATTGGTAAAATACAATGGACACTATATTATCATTAAAAAATAAAAAAGGGACACATTTACGGGAAAAAAAAATAAAAAAGAAAAGAAAAGAGTTAGGTCAGACATTAGATTTTATTGAAAAACTATGGATTGAATCAAATGGAAAAAATAAATTAACGTAGAGAAATTTAAAAAATTGCTATGCTTCCGTCTTGTGTAGTAACTTTATTTTAAACGGATTGGACCATGGGCTTAAGAATATTGTCCAAGTTTGTACCAAATGAACCAACAGAGCAGGTGATGCCTTTGTCTTGGACTCTCCTTTATTTGATGTTTGGGGCTTGCCCATATACCCTGAGCCCATAGCCCACTTAGCAACCGACTTAGCAACCTGATAAATCCCTAGACAAACAAGGAAGGAGTGGAGAACAAGGAGACGAAGGAAACCATGGAGCGCAGAAAGGTGAAAATCAAGAAGCCGGTTTCTTTCTCCAAGCGCAGGGAAGGACTGTTCAAGAAGGCTGCTGAGCTAAGTGCTTTGTGTGGTGCGGATGTTGCGGTGGTCGTCAAATCCCCCTCTGGCGAGAGGATTCATGGCTTCGGAAACCCGTCCGTAGACGTCGTCTTCAACCGTTTTCTCTCCCAAAACCCTAGTAGTGATCGGGAGGAAGTCCTCTGTGCGGGCAAGAAAGATGAAGAAAAAGTGACGGAAGATTCGGATAGGGTTTGGTGGGACATGGATATTGATCAACTAGGGTTGAATCAGCTTGAAGAGTACAGAATTGCATTGGAAGTGTTGAGGAAGAATGTCCTGGCTCGGGCTGATGAGATGGCCATGACGGAGGCGGCGAGGGCTTCTTCATCCGATGAGGTGGCGATGGCGGCGGCGAGGGCTTCTTCATCCGATGAGATGGCCATGGCGGCGGCGGCGAGGGCGAGGGCTTCTTCGTCCGATGAGGTGGCCATGGCGGCGAGGGCTTCTTCATCCGATGGGATGGCCATGGCGGCGGCAAGTGCTTGTTTCTCCGATGAGGTGGCCGCGGCGGCGGCGAGTGCTTGTTCCTACGATGAGGTTGCGGAGGCGGCCATGGCAGCACTAGTGCTTGTTAATCGGGATGAGAGGGCCATGGCAGCGGACAGTGGTTGTTCATTTGTTGATCTTTGATTTTCATTTTGCCCATGAATGTCTTGAATACCAAAATTAAACTGTTTTGAGATTTGCAGACTACTGTATAAATTGATTTTGATATGGATAATTCCCTGTTCTTCTCTCTTCTCACAATCGGTCTTTTGGCAAAGAAAATTATGCATGAATGACTCTCCACTCCACTGTTGCGGAACTGATTGAGAATTGAATTTTTCTACATTGGGAATTTAATTTTGATTTGGTGTGTGGAATGGCTGAGAAACTGTTGCACATCTACTCTTTTCATGCCCTATTGCTCAAATGGTTTGGAGAATTTGTGGTCCGAGATTGAATCCTCGAAATAATGTGCTTTGTGTTCTGAAGTTCCCTTCTTCAATGTCGCGGCAAAGTCTTTGGTCTAATTGTTTATACGGAGGCAGCGGCATGATTCAAGTCTTCTAACTTAGTAATGCCATACAAAAGAGGCATGGGAACCAATACTGACATTTGTAAGGACCCTCTCACCAAATGAGAGAGAGTTTCACGTCGGAGAGAAACTTAGTCTTCATGCTGAATCAGCCTGGGACTTCACTACCAGGGAGATATGTGCTAAATATACCCAGTTCATACAGTCCCTACATCATTAAAATCATAATTTTTTACTCTTACCGATATGAGAGAGAGACAGAGAGAGAGAGAGAGAGCTCACATGCGCCGTGTTATTCAACAAAGACACTTCAATATTTCTCAGGAATTCCAAGTTGGACAAGCCCAAATTGCCGATCATTACTTCATCAAAGTTTCCAATTGCTTCTAACTTGAACATTCTCTGAACCTCAGTTACTTTCTCACAATTACCTGTAAATAATAAAAGTGAATTCAACAGGTTTGGTAGATTTGTTATCATTTCCAATGACCTGCACTCGAGTAATTCCAACGACCTTAAACTCATTGGAAGCTCTGGCAGTAACTGGAGTTTTGGATAGTACTTTGAATCGAGTCTGTGGAGCATAGTTAGACACTTGATGCTCTCTGGTATGCTACAGATTAGATTTCTACTTAGATCCAAGTTCTGCAACGGGGATAGGCTGCCAAGATCCTTTGGAATAGCATCATCTGATAGGTTGAAACCAGAAAGATTCAAGATTGATAATGAGCGTGGTAAAGCACACATTGAAAAGCTGATCGATTCTGGACTTAGGGCCTGTTTGGATTGGCTTTTGAAATGCTGCTTTTAGCTTTTTGGAGTTAAAAGCTGTTTTGAGAAGTGTTTGGCTAATTTTTTAAAAAAGCTTTTGAGTCTTAGAAGAGTGTTTTGGAGAAGCTGGGTACCCCCAGCTTTTCCTAAACGCTCTTTTATTCTTGGACCCAAAAGCCAATCCCAACCATGGTGTAGAAACCGCACCCATCTAGTATCGTAATTGTGAATTCTTTATCCTTTCTAACAAAGAAACAAGCAATGTCGAGGAATAAATTTCTGTCATGGTCATCTTGTAAAGAATCAAAGCTTATTTTTAGTTTCTTTAGGATCTGACTGTTAGGAATAGGTTCCAATTTCTTTAATGCGCTTTCCCACACATCTACATGTCTGCTAGAAAGAGAAGAACCCAACACTTGAAGAGCTAAAGGAAGCCTCCGCAGTAGTGTACGACCCCTTTTGAGTGCTCCAAGTAAATGTCAATGGGATGGTCTTGGCCAAAGGCATGCCAACAAAAGAGCTGAAACAATTCATCATCATTTAGTTCCTTAACTTTGTGCATCTTATACCGTTCATGTTCCTTCAACAAATGCTCATCTAGTTGTTATGATGATTTTACTTCCTGGATAAAACCAATCTCGCATAATGAGTACTACATTTAATTGGTCTGGTTGATCCACATCATCAAGAACAACTAAAACTCTTTTACAACAAATAGCATCTCTAATCTTAATGATTCCTTCGTCAACACTGCTAATTTTTTCTTTTCTCCCCCTTTGAATATATGAAAGAAGTTGTTTTTGTAAACTAACCAAACCATTTGGTTGTTCTGATATTTCTCTAATATTTGCGAGGAAGCTGCTACCTTCAAATCTGTCAAAGTTTAGGTTATAGACAGTCTTGGCGATGGTTGTCTTCCTAATTCCACATATTTTCACTATGCCAACATTCGTTGATCCGTCTTGTATCCACAGATTGTCAATATGCCAACATCCGTTGATCCATCTTGTATCTGCCTTCCACCTCTTTATCTTGTCCAACCTTGCCTCTTTTATTTCTTTTGTCTCTGCCTTATATCGTTCTTCGTGTATAGCAAATGCTTCAGCAAGACTCCTTGTCTGCTTTTTACATGGGATGGATCCACATGATAGAAGACGGGCAGAATCGTATGACCAACAGTCTTATTGTGCTCAAGGATATTCAAAAGCTCATCAAGACACCATCTTGAAGATTCATAGTCTTTTGAGAAGACTATTATTGAAATCTTCGACTCATGGATTGCCTTATTTAGTTCTACGGAATGATTATTTGGGTTTGCCATTGCTTATTGACAGATCTAAGAAGGAGTCCTTTCAGCACCTTTTGGATAAGGTTTCGGGCCTTTCAGCTAAAACTAAAACATTCAAAGGAGAGTTAATGTCTGAGGCTGGCAGGGAAGTTCTTGTTAGATCCGTTTTAGCTGCATTACCTACTTACTCCATGCATTGTTTCAAGCTTTCTTCAGAAATATGCAAGAACTTATCAAGTATGCTAATGAATTTTTGGTGGAGTGGGCATGCAAAATCATCAAAGCTAAAATGGATTGTATGGGATCTTATGTGTCAACCTAAGAAGTTTGGGGGTTAAATAGATAGAGACTTTTAACTTAGCTCTACTTGCTAAATTTGCATGAAGGTTAGAGGTGGGGGAAGATTCTTTGTTTTATAGAATTTTCAAGCAAAAATATTTTGCTTCTTCTTCGTTTCTGGATTCAAACTGTAGTAACTCCTCTTCTTGGGTTTGGAAAAGTTTATCCACGGCCAAACCTATTGTGAAAACAGGATGCATTACTTTCATTAAGACACGGTTCAAGTTTTGAAACTGTAGCCAAGTTGATTAACCAAGACACACATTCATGGAAGACGGATCTGGTGAAGGAAACATTTAATGGTCGGGATTCTAAGCTTATTTTACAATTTCCTCTTAGGATAACTGATGGTGACGATAAAAAAAAGTTTGGGGGCCTACTGTTGATGGACAATTTTCAGTCCAAGACTGCATATACATTGGCTACTAGTTTGTTGAGACATGGTGAAAGATTTTTATGCCAAGCCAGTTCCAGTGCTTCTTCTTCAAAATTTACTATATGGAAGGGCATTTGGAAAATTAAAACACTCAGAAAATTTCAAATATTATTATCGCAGTGTAGTCATGAGAGGCTGCCAGTTATGCTGAATCTGAAAATCAGAGGCATGGTGGGTGATGCAACTTGTACTGTCTGTGGTGAAGCTGAAGAATCTACTTGCCATGTTCTGTTTGATTGTCCAGTTGCACAGTTGGTGTGGCGACTTAGTCCTCTTCGATTAAATTTTGAAACTTGCGGTGGCAATTGGCATCAAAGCTGGGACTGGTTGAGAAAACTTTGGAATGTTGTACATGAATGTGATGAGTTATTTAGCCTTGCCTCCTTTGTGGCTTGGCAGATATGGAAGAGCAGGAATCGGTTGGTGCATAATGGAGTTTTTTATGGTCCAGTGTCCGTAATGGAGAAAGCGGTTTTCTTCTATCATGAATTTGTCCAAGCAAACAAGCCTGATGTTGTTTTGCCTTCTATGAAGATTGATGATTGATTATCCTAAAAAATGGAGTGTACCTACTGCCGGTAGATTTAAATTGAATGTGGATGCCTTTTTTGAGGTATCCTCAAACCATTATGGTCATCCTATGAGGGTTGCATCCTTTTTCTTGGTTACTTGCAGCATTTTCTGCTGATTGTAATTCTCTTTCCAATTAATGTTATTTCTCTGTTTCGACCCAAAAAAAAAAAAATCTATATTACATCTCCATATATATTTTCATTTTTACTAAACTTATATATTTCAATTTAAATCATACTAATTTTAAATTTATGCATCCCTGATTCTTACTAGCTTAAACTTTTAGAACAAATAGGACAATTGATTTGACAGAGAAAGACAGAAATACCATTATGCGAAGACATCAACATGGGTCAACCATTAAGAACATAGATGCATACAATTACAACAACATATTATACAGAAACAGAACATGGAAAATAAAAATTGATTAATGATCCATGTAATAAACTTGAAATATTGAGTAATGGGTATTCAATTGTAAAAGGGTTACCTGTAATGGGATTGATCAGTCCTAGAAAAGATTGAATTTGTTCTGGTCACTGATGAAGATGAAAATGAAGAGGAGAGAGAATCAAAAAGGGTGGAGCGAGAAAGAAGGGACAGTGTGAGGAAAAGGCAAGAAGAGAGCCTTTGGTGGATCCACGTAGGAAACTAGAATTGTAAAGAGTGTGTGAACTGAGTTTCTTTTCATTTATTACCACTGAGTAATGCAGGAAACTAGAATTGTAAAGAGTGTGTGTGAACTGAGTTTCGTTTCATTTATTACCACAGAGTAATGAGCACTGTGAACTGAGTTAACGAGTCTTATTACAGAATGAGCTCGGGTTGAACCCCCCTTTCCATGTTTTTGCTTTGACTTTTACTTTGATTTCAAATTTCTTATTTAGAGGGTGTATAATACTATTTTAATTTTTTTTTAACATAAATTTATGGCACGATTTTTTAAAGCAAAAATACAAAAATATGTTTACTAAATGGAGTTAGCTAGTAATATAGACAAATTTAGCCAAATTAAAAAAATAAAATAAAATAATTACTACTATTAATCCACCCAAGTCAAAGTTAGCTAAATTTATGTTTAATATTAGTCTTATCACATTAACAATTACTCAATCTGCCCTTGCACTTTGTTACTAAGGTTTCGTTTGGATAGACGAGAGAGAAAAGAAATGAAAGAATTATGAGAGAAAAGAAATGAAATGATAGTTATAATTTATATTCATGTTTGGATGGATAGGAGAGAAAAGAAAGGAATGGATAATATTCTTGTTTGGATAACACAAAGGAGAGAAGAGAAAGGAAATGATAATAATTAAAATTACTATTTTACCCTTTTTGTGGGGTTAGTAGGACAAATCATTTCAGCCACCCTAACTCAATTTATATTCTCGTTACTCTCAAGCTTGCACCCCTCTGCAACTGCTAACTTGTATGTATGGGTTTTGTTTTAATTTTTTTTTCTTTCTAAATCAACTAATCAAGGTCTGTAATTTGTAGGCCCATGGATGATCGCCACCAGAAAATATATATATATGTCTGTAATTTATAGGCCCATGGATGATGGGCACCAGAAAATATATATATATAGGGCTGCAAATGAACCAAGCTGTTCATGCTGTTCATGAACAGCTCGGGCTCGACTCGTTAAAAGCTCGGCTCAGGCTGTTCGTTAAGTAAACGAGCCGAGCTTGAACACATTTTTTAGGCTCGTTTACTAAACGAGCCGAGCTTGAACAATGCTGAACAATGCTGAGCCCGGCTCGTTAGGCTCGTGAACAGGCTCGTTTAGTAAAAGACCTAACTTTTTTAATTTTATATACAGTTGTTTAGCCCATTTTAATATAAATCCAGCCCAAACTTCATTAGCCCAACTTCATTTAACCTTTAGCCCAACTCCACTTAACCTAATGGATACCCATCATCTCATACATGTCTTCTTATCAACCATTGGATTAGCCTGATCAAGTTCACTATATTTATGATGAAAGTTGATCATATCCAGCCACAAACAAACCTCGCAACATTCACCTTAATCGTTTCATCGTAACATTGCCTTTTCTTTCTTGCTCGCCAGCTGCCGTCTCCAATAGACCTCTGAAATCTGATGAAACCTTAATTATAGGTAGTCGCAACAGATCTTGCAACATCTGTACTCTAATCCTTTTTAGATTTCAAAACAACATCCATTCTTTTCTAGCTCGTTGACGATGGTCTCTAACAGATCTCAGCATCGCAATCCCATTTTCGTGTTGGGGGATCAGAGGAAGATGGTAGCGAGTCGAGCCCGAGGCTTGTTTTACCAGGCTCATCCGAGCCCGAGCTGAGCCTAAGCACTCT